ATTAGTTCCAGGAGATTTATGCTCTCACAGGAAAGCAGCAACATAATTTACAGTGCCTAGTGCAGAATGAAAGTACAGAGACTTTTCTTAAAAAGGTATAAAGAATTTCAATTAAAATTTGAGAGTAGAACATTAAGTCAAGTGTGTGGTACTTTAATATGTGTGACTACAAGATTGTACACCCACCATGGGGGCCCTACTCACAACATCCAGAACCCTGAATCTGGCCTTGACCCTGTTGTGCAGCTGTCTTTTTACAGACTTGAATAAGGTCTCATGATATGAAAAGAACAGAAGTACTGGAGACCAATTTTTTATAAGGTATGTCCTGGAATCCCTCTAGTTTTTCAACTGAGAGCATCCTGAGGCAGCGGGACTTTTGATGAAGTAGGACTGGGGAAGAAAGCAGGGTTGCCGGGCCATAGGTCTGATGATTTGTACTCTCAGAAAGGAGAAGTATAGACCAATTTTTATCTTAGCAGTCCAGAGTGAGAGGGTAGCAGGATGTGGGGAAAGAAAGAGGAAACTCTGGGTAACTCCCGCCACCCCACAGAGAGGGAGTTTCCTTTGTTTCCCATCAGAATGGTGGTCATGCTCCTTGGTTGTTTGGCAGGGGCCCATGTTAATTCATGTTTCACATTAATAAGCTTGGCACTGGTCATTCTAATGCTTTGCTTTTGCCCTTTTAAAATTATAAGCAAAAGTGATGGTTTTTAGTCTTCCTTCTAAAAGTATAAATGAGTTGCGTTTCTGAAAAAAATATTGTCATTAATTCTTAGACTTTGATTTAATCTGTGTACCTCAAAAATACTGTCATTCAATTTTGCAAGCAGTCAAGAATCAGAGAACATGGCAGAACATAGCAGACATGCCTTGCCTCTTCATGTAATCAATTCAAAATTACAACTAAAAGGCAGAACAACCAACACTCAGAACCATCAGCAATCAAGCTGACTGGAAGTGTCACAACTACGGAATTAAATAAAACATAACCATCCAGACTGAGCCGTCAAGCTGGTGCCATATTTAAGACTCCATCAACCTGGCTAACACTGCTTGACCTATTTTGGAGATCTGCAGGAACTCTGCCCCACCTAATATACAGACCCACCCAAGCTGCTTTTCCATATGAATAGTTGGTCTTGGCTCATGCTTCACAACTTCATATGTCCTATCAAACATACAATAGCTGGTCTCAATGAGTCCCAGTCCTGGCACTAACAGCAGCCAGCCTAAATTTGCAGATTGACTTTGCCAGGGAATCTCCAAGCCCAGCACAAGTAGCAGTCATCCTAGATTGCATTATAGCTCAGGCAAGATGGCCCCAGGCAAAATGCAGCTGAGGGCTAACACTGACCTGCATCATCCAGAACCTGCTCACCCTGTGGACAGCTACACACCAGGTCGGAGCACCATTACCCTGCACAGCTGATCCTCCACAGAGAACAGAGGTTTGTTGTAAGTGTTCACAGTCAATCCTCGTAGCTGACTGGACTGGGTAAATCCCTCCCAAAATCTGTCAACAGCAACAAAGGCTCAACTACATGAGTAGGGGGTACTCAGCCCACATTATGGGTATACCTCGAGTACCCAGCTTGGGAGATAGGAGAGGATGTGCCACTGGACCCTCCAGGAAACCTACCAAGGCCACACTACCAAGACAGAGAGCCATAGCTGCTCTACCTAATACATAGAATCAAACACAGGGAGGCTGCCAAAATGAGGAGACAAAGAAATGTGGCCCAAATAAAAGAACAGATCAAAACTCCAGAAAAAGAGCTAAATGAAATGGAGGTAAGCAATCTATCACATGTAGAGTTCAAAGCACTGTTTATAAGGATGCTCATGGACTGTAGTGAGGACCTCAGCAGCATAAAGAAGGTCCAGTCAGAAACAAAAGATTCACTAATTGAAATAAAAACAATTTGCATGGAAACAACAGTAAAGTGGATGAAGCCAAGAATAAATCAATGATTTGGAATATAAAGAAGCAAAAAACAACCACACAGAATAACAAAATGAAAAAGAATCCAAAAATGAGAATAAAATAAGCAGCCTCTGGGATAACTTCAAGAGTCCAACATTTACATCATAGGGGTGCTTGAAGGAAAAGAGTAAGAGCAAGAAATTGGAACTCTATATGAAAAAAGCAATGAAAGAAAACTTCCCAAATTCAGTGAAGGAAATAGAAATCCAAGTCCAAGAAGCATAGCGAGCCCCAAACAAGATAGAAGCAAAGAGCCCACTCCAAGACACATCATAATTAAAATGCCAAACACTAAAGATAAAGGGAAAATCTTAAAAGAAGCAAGAGAGAAGAAGTTATTTACCTACAGGAAAGTTTCCATAACACTGTCAGTTGACTTCTCTAAAGAAATTCTGCAGACTGGGATTGGCAAGAAATATTCAAAGTCATGAAAAGCAGGGACCTATAGCCAAGATTGCTCTACCCTGCAAAGATATCATTTAGAGTTGAAGAGCAGACAAAGAGCTTTCCAGACAAGAAAAAACTAAAATAATGCATAATCACCAAACCACTATTATACAAAATATGAAAAGGACTTATTTAAGAAAAATAAGGAGATCAAAACTATGAACAATAAAATGACAAAAATACAAATCTACCAACAACTGAATCTAAAAAAAAAAAACAAACACATTAAGCAAACAATAAGAACAGAGACACAATCATGGATACAGAGAGTGTTTTGATGGTTGCCAGATGTGAGGGATATGGGGGAAGGAGTGAAGAGGTGAGGGGATTAAGAAGTACAAACAGGTAGTTACAAAATAGCCATGGGGATGTAAAGTACAGTATAAGAAATGGAGCAGCCAAAGAACTTACATGCATGACCCATGGACATGAACAACTGTGGGGGGAATGCCCGAGGGAGCTGGGGGGGTGCTAGCTAGGGTGGGGCAATGGGAAAATCAGAACAACTATAATAGTATAATCAATAAAATATAATTTTAAAAGGTAAAAGATACATTACAAAAGATGTAATAATTTAAAATGCTAATGAAAATTTAAAAATATTTTTACAAAGAATCAGAACAGGTGTTTTTTATATTCAAAATATACATTATAACTCAAGCCCCCTCTCCTAACAGATTCTGTGACCTTGGAGGAGTTAATTAAACTGTCCATTTTTTAACTGTCAATTGAAACAAACACTTAAATAATTGCAGCCTCAGAACTTTTACAGCATTTATTACATGAATGTGCTTAGTTCAACACCTGAAATATAAGAACTCAACACATTACAGAGATATTACTTGATAAATCACATATATTTCTTATATACATTTGTATTTTATTTCTCATGTATATTTATATTTATATTTCACTTAAGCATATTATAAATGTGTATATATATATATATACATATGTGTATAGGTAAACAGATGATAGATAGAGAGAGACATATAACATGTTTTTGTTTTAGTTTTTAAATCATAGCCTTTTGTATATTGGGGGAGGGGAAATGCTTGGCTAGGAAGACAGTTCTGCTTTTTTTTAAAGCATCCTAAAAATTTTATTTTACTCACAATCCACAAAAGAACCAGCTAGATATTATAAACAGTTAAAAAGAGAATTGTTAAAGGAACACACAGAACAGGAATATTGAGATGAATATGCAAAACTGGGAAGTCAATTGAAGATATACTTGAAGTAACAAAATTTGCATGACTATCACCGCTACATCTTACATAGTTGTAAAACAACTTCCATAGAACAGATAGACTGAAGAGGGTTACCCTGGTGTATAAATAATGCATACTTTTTTATTAATGCCCAAAGCTGTCCTACACACACAAGGCCACTAAGATGTAAAATCTATATTTTCAGTTATGTAACTATAAGATAAATCTGACTTTTTTCAAGTATAATAAAATACACAAAGGGTATATTATTAGAGTAACTCTAAATTAAAGTATAATGGAGTTACAAAGGGGTTGGAACATTTGGAGATCTGGAATTCATTGCAGACTCTTTCATAACCAAATTCTTTCTATCTTGATTATTGGTACCTGCTCTGTTACTTGCTGAAGCCAAAAACTTGGGAAGTATTTCTGATCAGGTCTTTCTCATACTACACATTAACCTACTACCCAGCCCTCATGTTTTACTTCCATTGCTTGTCTTAAAGCCAAACAGTTCACTCCATTTTTATTGCTAGCTTCCTAGACCAAGCTTGGATCGTTTATAGAATTCCTCTTTGGGCTTCTGCCTGTCTTTGCTAACTCAATGCTCAACTTACCGCATTCATATTTAATTACTGCTGCCTGCACAGTTAGGGACATAGCATGCATCCCATACTTCATTCATATCAAGCAGATCGAGTGTTTACTTGAGTATACATCTAATGTAATCCTCAGAAAAGCCAGGTGTGTTTCTTGTCTGAAATTTTGGTAATGTGCGTTCAGTTGCTATGCAGAACATTGACTGTAATGTGTGAATTGCCGTGTGGTAAGGTTATCTTACTTAAATACCACTTCTTTCTCTAATCCTGATCCACCTGATCTATCTTTTTTATGTCTCTTGATTTTAATCACAGAAAATAAAATGGGAAATACTCACAGTTCTAGTATCCCTTTTTCTAGTACACTAACAAAATGCGTATTCAGCTTTGCCTCCAAAATTTGACTTATATAGCTCTGTCAAAACTTATTGATAACAGCTATTCAGTTGCTTTATACCCAAGAGAATTCACCAAAAATGCTCAATTTAAAAAACAAAAAAGCAGAAATAATTGTATATCCAACATATACAGTACTAACTTTTAAATATACAAAGGAACATAAAAAATTTTTAATGCTTTTCTGTTGTTTTGATAGTGGATTTAAAAATTTCAACAGCAGTCTTTTAAAAATCTATTTGTGAAGTGAGCAATTTGTTTTGTGTCTTGACTTCACAGGAAGTTCCCCTACATGAATTTGACTTCGAGGTTTGACTGAATAAATTAACCCTCGACTTTTGAATTGTTAATCTTGGCGGCATGATATGCAAATCAGACTGCACTAGTCATGTCCAGAGGTGCTGCGCTGGGTCAGAAGCTGCATCAAGTTGCTGGCAAAGGATTTCTGTTAGGGGATCAGGACCTTCCGACAGAACAGTAAGTTATCATGCAATTCATATTGCCAGGTATATGAAGTAGTAACAAACCTCCTGTTTGTCAGGGGTTTCTTTACAAGTGGCTTGTGTTTAATTAAGGCTTAAAGTAATGTTTAAATGAACTGTCTGAACTGTTGTTCCTATGTACCTGTAGGACAGCAAAAGAAACTAAAAGGGAGTCATAGTTCTTTTTTTCCTTTAAAGTCACTTTTAACAAATGTAATGTTTTGTTTTAATTGGCAAGGACTAAATTTCTTTTATTTAAAGAGGTTGATTATATTTGCTTATGTCAGTAACTTAGATTTCAACAAAAAAGTAATCAAATTTACTAAAATAAATATAACTATTTAAAAAATAAATATTTATTTGGTTTCTAAATCAAATAAAACAACTGTCACATATAATATTTTCATGTTTAGAAAATAACGTGCTACAGAAAATTTTAAAACTTAAATTTAGCAATTATGTTTGTAAAAAATTGCATTACTCAAGAATATAGTTCATTAAGGAAAAATGGAAGATTGCAGAAACCATCACTATTATACCTTCCAAAACATTTTATAACTGGTGAGATATTTTTAAGAAATTCACAGAAACACAATTTGCTATCTTAATATAACATTTTAATATTTTGACTTCTGGTATAATTTCTGCAATACATGAAATATCAAGCGATCAATATTAAATTATTATATCTTTTCAGTGTGAATATAGTCTTTATTCAAATGGTTTGTTAATGAGAAAAGCAATTTGCTAAAAAATACTCATTACTGTGTACATTTGAATTACATGTTTTATTCATTAATTTTTATAATTAATATTATGAATTAATATTTCATAAATGTTCTTTATTGTGATGATTACAAGAAAAAAGTGTAAAAGCTAGTAAACTACCAAATATGTTTTTAAGTTTTAAAAACGTACTTTTTAAGAGGCTGAATGTAAACAAAGAGAAATAGACAAACAGTATTATCAAGTTAAAATTTAGAACTGATCTGCTTATGTGAGTAAATTGACTATTGCTTGTAGTTTAATAATTTCTCACAGGAGTAGGTATATTTTTGAATATATAATTAAGATTTCACTTTAATTGCCAACATCTACAAAAATCAAAAACCTGTTAAAATAATTGATTAAAATCATATATAACCCATTTATTACAATCTCTTTCCTAAAAATTAAAAATCCAACCACCAAAAAGTGGAAGAAAGAATATTACTTTTTCATGAGAATTTGCGTAAAGGATTAGCTTATTTCATCAATTTGTAGAATTGAGACGGCCACACGGAAAACACACTGAACTACAAATAGCACCCACCTTGGAATCTATAACCTGGAAATCATGTCTCCTGGTGATGTCTAATTGGTTTGTAAATATTTATAAGACCACAATTTATTAATGTTAAGGAGTAAATAATGATATTTTAAATTAAATCTATCAAAACATTTAAAAGCATCATAGTTGTATAAAAGTAAGTGAAAATAAATATTAAACAGCAGGAGGTTGTTCAGATATTAGAAGGGGTTGGTTTATAGGTTTACAGACAATTTTTTATTTCTCTTATCAGCATTTTTTGAATGAGTTTACATAACAAAATGTTTTTTTATTTTTTTATTTTTTTAAATTTCTTTTATTTATCTTTAGAAGGGAAGGGAAGGAGAGAAGGAGAGAAATACCAATGTATGGTTGCTTCTGGTGCATCCCCTGCTGGGAACAGGCCTGCAACCCAGGTGTGTGCCCTGACGGGGAATTGAACCTCGGTCTTTTGGCTCACAGGCCCATGAACAAAATGTTTTTTTTAAAAAGTGAAGTAACCCCTCTGACAAGCAGGACCAGAGTGACTAATCATTCATTTTACTCATTTTAGTCCTGGTACTGTCTATCCTTACTATCTGCCAAGTCTCCAGTCTCAAAGCAGAATCCTGCATGGCTGCACCACGGCCCAGAACTTGCCTAAGTGCTAACTGCTGGTAATCTGCCTTCTAGTGACAGTCCTCAAAGCTGTATTTTTCTTTCATAGCAGTACCTCCTTTCTGCTGCACATAAGCTAATCACAGAAGTTAGTAAAGCACGTTGAAGAACGAACTAGGCAAAAAAAATGAGAGTTATAGCTAGAAAAAGAGGAAATGAAAGAATAAAACAAATTTTGTGGCGTAAGGAAATTTTCTATTGTCATAATACTCATTTGAGTGTGCACACCAGCTTTTTGAGTATTTCCAAAATAACAACATTGCCCAGAACTGAGCTTTGAAAAACTATAACGTTTAAAGTTCGGGCAAACAAGAATTAGAGCCCAGAACACTCTGGGAAAAAGGGGGACAGCAAGAGACTGCCACGCCTTAGAAAGAAAGAAGGACGGTGTAGCTGGAAGTGCTGGCAGGGAAAGCCGCTGGGAACCGTGAAAATAATAGTGAAAGTTACCATTGGTCTAAAATAATAAAGCTTATTATGTTTAAAGAACTTGTCAAAAAGTATAAAGTTTTTATTATATATATAAGAATTTTTAATTTTTAATATTACCAAATATATGCTGATCTGGGGAAAGCAAAGAGCCTAGATAAATCAGAAGGGAAAAGCACAATAAAAATGATCTATAATCTTATCACTAAGGGGATAACACTATGAATACTTTGGTACATATCATAGACTTTCTTATGTTCAGTAATTTCAGATACAAATTCCTGTGTCTTTAAATATCCTTAGTTTTAAAAAATTATCCTAGAAAATATATATTAATTTTTTCTTTCTACAAATATGTGTCTAAAACACATCTACCACTAAATTGATTACCATTTTTTTTTAGTATTAGTCATACTGCATGCATTGTCTGCTTTTATAGTGAAATAGAGCAATTGGTTTAATTCAGTGGACTTACTACTTATCTGCTCATAGAGAAAATATTTATAAAAGTATTTTTTAAACAGTTAAGTCTTTATATTTATTTCTCTACTCAGCAAACATGTACTAGCTGGAAGTCACTGTGCCAGATATAGGAGATAAACTATGAGTAAGATAAAGTTGAGAGATATTCTGAGAAGCTCGGTGTAAAATGGGAACATGAAATATGGAGACCTAACTTAGACTGGAGGGTCAGAGAGCTAATCTTGGGAAACCCACACTTAAGCTGATATCTGAAAGAAGTGTAGATATAAGATACAATATGTGATGAAGCAAGAACCACAGGGCGGAATGTCAGTGAAAAGAGATTCAGCATAGTGACTATGAGGGAAGTTCTCTGCACCTTCAAAAAACAGGAAGGAAGACAAGCAAGGAGAGTAATGCCAGGTGAGGCTGAAATGGCATTCAGGGGCCAGATCATGCTGGCCGTCAGGTCCCCACTAAAGATTTGGCAGTTCATTCCCTACATAGTGGAAAGCCAGTTAAGCATTTTCAGTAAGGATAGTAATATGATCAGAATTTCAATAGTAGTTTTAAAGATAGTTTAGCTGTCATGTTGCAGGGAGACAGAGATGTGTGGAGACCGTAGGAAGATATGGGATAGTCCAAGACAGAGATGACTGATGGTGGCCTGGACTAGAAGGGTGATGGAGTAGTGGAGCAACAGAAATGGCTTTGAGAAATATCCAGACATTATGGTCAATGAGTCACCTATAGCTTACCTCCAATTACTTGTAATTGAAGGTAAGCTATAGATGACTTCAAGGACACTCTTATATTTCTGAGATAAAACAACCTGGCTATATACCATATTTTGCTGTGTATAATGTGCACTTTTTGGTCCAAATTTTTGAGGGAAAAATAAGGATGAACAATATACATGGGATTAATGATTACATACTATGGGCATAATAATGGGTATAATAATCCTGAGTATAATGCACACAAAACACAGGTACACATTATCTACAGCAAACTGCGTTAGTACGGCCATTGATGGAGTTAGGAGGAGGCCAAGCAGAATCAGGAGGGGAAGTGGAGAGTTTAGTACAAGACTTTTGGAGGCACAAGCACCTATGAGAAATCTATCAGTGGCAGTAAGTATAAACAATAAAACTTATAATACAGGTCCAGGCTGGGATATAAATTTGAGACTTGTTAATATATGGATGATCAATAAAACTAGAAAGTAGATGGGACTGTTCATGAAGAGTCTAGAAAAAGAAGGTTAGTACTGAGCCTTGAGAAGTTCCACATTTAACAATTAGGCCAAGAAAGCTTAGGCCACAAAAGAGCCTGCAAAGAACAACTAGACAAAAAGAAGGAAAACTAAGAAATTGTCATTTCATAGAAGGTGAAGGAAGAGAGTGTTTCCAGGAGCCCTGGTATTAAAAAAAAAAACAGCAGATAAGTCAAGAGAAAAGACTGGTGAAAAATGACAAGTGGGTTGAGCAAAGTAGAGGCTATTTTGGTTGAGTGGGGAGTTTAGAATTCAATTTGGAATAAAGACAATGAGGTGCCAAGGTATCAAAACTATTTGTGAAGACAGCTCTCTCTGTAAATCAAGCCATGACAATGAGAGAAGCATTTGAAACCAGGGGGAGTTGTTTGTATCTGCTCCTTATTTTTAAGACAAGACAAGGAATATTTATATTCTGAAAGAAAGGAGGTAGCAGAGCTGGAGAAGAAGGCTGAAGAGACAGGAAAGAGGGACTTCAGATAACACAGCAGTCTTGAAAATCTGGGAATGCAGTGGGTCTGAGTAAGCCCAGATGAATAGACGTTCACTGTCCTCCCAGAAAGGAAGGAGTGAGGGACAGTACAGAGGCAGGAACCAGAGTGGACACTTCCAGAACGGGCTCTGGCCCCAGGAGCTCAAAGACAAAAGTATCTGCTAATGCTGAGTAGGTGAAGGAGGTTTGAGAAATTGGAAAAGATATGACCTTGAGAAATGTAACAAACTGTCAGAGATGTGAGAGCAGTAGAATCAGGGAGGCTCCAAGATGGAGTAGAGCTAATCTGCTCAGTTTCTCACAGCATCCACGTGTCTGCTGCCTGAAGAGGCTCCTGTCCAGCTTTGTCTAGGGTCGGACTTAGTGTCAGGTTGCCATGGGCTGACTTGAGGAGAGGCTCAGAGGAATTTAAGATGTTTTAAAGAGTGATGAAAAAAAACAACATCAAATATTGAATTTGTCATATGTACAATTCCATGAGTTATTTTCACAAGCAAAACACTTTCAAATGGCAAGCAATCTTTTACAGGAATAGATCAAACATCAGTCCATTAAATTTGACAAAAGTAGACATGTTTTCCAGATGCCTTCATGATAAGGAATTCTGCTCATTGTTTGCATGTTTCCCAGAAAAGCAGTTCAGGTCTATTTGATCTTATTTTGCTCTATTTACCAAAAGACTGTATTGAAAGAATCATTTGACTATAATAACCAACACTCAGAATCCTATTTAACCCAGAGGTTTTTGGAAAATTTTATATTCAATCTTGCTTTTGTCCTACTAGACATAAGTAGGAGTCAATATTTGAAGATGGCATTCCAGTACATTTTTGATAAATTCAAGTTTTTTAAGTACTCCACCCAACCACAGTCTGACCTTATTACAAGAGAAAGCATGGTAGGTGAGCAAGATGTCTGAAGTCTGAATGAATCAGAGTGCTTATTTTCATGACCCTTATTCAGAAGATGCTACAATGGAGGTCTTTCACTAGATGCATGACCTGAGGAAGATGCCTAGTTTTCCAAGTCTAGGTGACTTCACATGTAAAATGGAAATAATAACAGTCCCCACCTCGTCACTAAATGAGATAGTCCTTGGAAGGTAGTGAGCACAGTGCCTGGTGAACTATAAGCTTTCAGTAAGGACTTGCTGCTGTTATTATCACTAAGATCTTCAGCTCTATATTTTACATTGCAAAAAAATCATATTCCAAAGTTGGAGTTGCATTTCACAAATTTAATAAAATAAGCAAAATTCCTTAACGACATCGAAGCAAAGCAAAAGCCAGTAAACGATCAAGACTGGAGCTATAACAATCCTTGTTTCTTCTTCTAGGTAATGGGCCAATCCTATTTAACTCAGCAGAATTTGTCAGACAACCACACTCTCCTAGGGAACGTGGTAGGTCCTGGAGACTTTCCTCTTAACTTACTTCACTGCATTTTCCATTGGCTTTTTTGCAGTTTTTCATATCCTCTATGTGTGTTTCCACTTCATGTTTAGAACACTCTGTATCATTATCCAGGATGGGACAAAAGTAGGTTTGCAGTTGTGAGTACCTGAAACCCAGAGTTCATTCTTATTATTTATTAATTATTTTCCACATGAACAACTATCAACCTAAACCTACTTTTGCCCCACCTTGTATGGCTTTCACTTACTTTTTTTTAATTTCCTGATTCTTCTTAAGACATGATAAATTATTTGAGATTAGAAATTTTGTTTACATAGGGTTACCAGTTTGGTTCCCAATCGAGGCACATGTCTGGGTTTCGGGCCAGGTCCCCAGCAGGGGGTGTGTGAGAGGCAACCACACATTGATGTTTCTCTCCCTCTCTTTATCTGTCCTTTGCATCTTTCCCTCTCTCTAAAAATAAGAAAAATTCAATCTTTTAAAAAATTAAGAAGAAAATTTAACTCAGTGCTGTTATCCCCACTGCCTAGCACAGAGTTCAAAGGTATTAATAAATTTTTTGAAATATTTTTATATATATGTATGTATACATATATACTCCTTACTAATGTAAACCACTCTCCATGTAGTTGAACTTTTAAGTGTTATTTTAAAATTGTATTGTGTTAAATACAGTTATGTCTTCAGTCATAGACTAGGATTTCATCCGTGTATTTTCTCTCTTTTTCAGGCAAAGAATGTGTCTTGTGAAAAGTGGCTGGCAGCGGAGGTTGCCCTGGAAAAGTACTACCTTTCCATTTTTTATGGTGTTGAGTTCATTGTGGGAGTCCTTGGGAATAGCACTGTAGTTTTTGGCTACCTCTTCTGCCTGAAGAACTGGAATAGCAGTAACGTCTATCTCTTTAACCTCTCTATCTCTGACTTGGCTTTCTTGTGCACCCTCCCCATGCTGATGAACAGTTATGCCCAGGGAAAATGGACATATGGAGATGTGATGTGCATTAGCAATCGCTACGTACTTCATGCCAACCTGTACAGCAGCATTCTTTTCCTCACTTTCATCAGCATCGATCGCTATCTACTCATGAAACACCCCTTCCGAGGACACCTTCTGCAGAAGAAAGAATTTGCTGTTTTAATCTCTTTGGCCATTTGGGTTTTAGTGACCTTAGAGCTTGTGCCGATGCTTCTTTTTATAAAAACTGTTTCCAATGACACTAGCACCAGATGCAATGATTATGCAAGTTCTGGGAACCCCAAATACAGCTTCATTTACAGCATGTGTCTGACCTTCTCGGGATTCCTCTTTCCTCTTTTCGTGATGTGCTTCTTTTATTTCAAGATTGCTGTCTTCCTAAAGCAGAGGATCAAGCAGCAGGTCACCACTGCGCCCTTGGAAAAGCCTCTCAACTTAATTATATTGGCAGTTGTGATCTTCTCTGTGCTTTTCACTCCCTACCACATCATGCGGAATGTGAGGATTGCTTCCCGCCTGTGGGACTGGAGGAAGCCCCCGTGCACTGAAGCCATCGTCAACTGCTTATACATCGTGACTCGGCCATTGGCCTTTCTGAACAGCGTCATCAACCCTGTCTTCTACTTCCTTGTGGGAGATCACTTCAGGGAGATGTTGGTAAATAGACTGAGGCACCACTTCAAATCCCTTCCATGCTTTAGAAAATGAGCTAATGGACTGATGTCTTCATTCAGCAGAAGAAAACAAAGGCCTGTGGGACGGAATGTGTTACACAAGCAGCTGTAGGCCAGTGAGAGTTGGGTTAACTCAGTTGTAAATCAGAGAGGGTCACAGATCTGCCCCTGATTTAAAGACACGGTGTCCTCACAGTACATACTAAGAAGAGGATGAGAGAAATGTCTTTGTTCACATACAAACTGAAAGAAGTTGCACTAGCATGAATGTTTGGGCATGTAAATCCAAAATGCTAGGTGTAATAATACCTCAATCAGTGCAAGAAGAATAGGAGATGAATAAAGCAGCAAGTTATCTACATTTAGTCACTGGTCGGACTGTAAAAAGAAATTGTTTGGGCAACATTCTTTGTTATTCTTATTCATACTATCATAACTTTATGTGATAATTGTATAGCAAATTATATATACATTATTAAATATTGTTGTTAGAAGTTGTGCTCTTAAGAAAATTTAAAGTAAATAGTAGCAATAATGAGCAAGAAAGCAATATAACAAGTTCAAGGATGTCTATATATTCCTGATAGTGATCATGAATTGGGTCAACTTTTAATTTATCAGTCCTTTCAGGTTGTATAGTTTATAGTATAAATAATCATATTAAGTAGAGATTTTAACAAAGGGAAATGTTTGAACTTGACTGTAAGGGAATTCAGATGTAAGTAGAGATACCAAGAAAAGTTGCAAAACCCTAGAGTTATTGAACACAAAATGCCTATCATGAAACTCAAAGCAAGACAAACAACACAAAAGTGAGTCTACTGTGTGATGATTGTGCCATCTGGCATCTAATTATCACACTTTGATCGTCACTGCATGCCATGATATTAAAGTTTATTAGCCTGGCTGCTCTTGATTAAATAGTAAGCTTTAAAGTATATTAATATCATAAAACCAGCAAATAAAAGGAAATGTCAACACAGGAATTTGTTAGGTAACATTCCTTTTTGGAGAGAAAATCACAGTTTATCTCCCACTCTCCTATTAATCTGTAAGCCTTGGGAAAATTTACAAGGACAACTTTATCTTACAGTCACTCCCATCTGGAGAGAGCCTTCTTTCCATAGGACATTGCCGAAGACCATTGGAGGAAACATGCTAAACAAAACACACTCTGAGAAACTGTAGAATACAAGGAATATTACTGTGCATATCAATATAGATTATGTCAGGAGGGTTAGACACCATTTCACACCACAAAACAAATTTAGGGAAAAATATTGCTACATTAACTTTTTAAATAATAATTCACTTACCATATGCAATAAAATGTATCTATGCCATAAGTCAACATTCTCTTCCTTGATGTCAGTAGTTACAGGGGGTGAGTAATACCAAGGAGAAAAATAAACATTATGAGTGCAGAGGCATAAAACTGCATTGTCCTTCTTGTTCTAAGACACTGTGATACTATTGTATTCTATTACATCTGAAAACCCAAAACATTCCCAGTTAATGCTTTGACACTTCAAGCAACTGAAAAGTTATGAAAAAAAAATGCTCACAAAAGATGTATTTTCTAACCTAGAATCAGGCTTTTCAGATTTTTTTATGCCTTGCCTTTGTTATTAATACTTCAAAATTTCAGTGTGATTTTGTAACTGTCTGGCAATAAACTGAAAACAGAATCTTCTGAATTTCCTCATCAGAAAAGGCCATAAAAAAGGCTTTAGGGAAGAAGTATTTCCCTAAAGATTCTTTCCCTAAAGTATTTCCCTAAGATTGCTTATTTCTGCAATCTTAACATACAATTTCATTGTAATTTGTCATTTATGCATGAGCTTTAATTTGTAAAGATGAAATTAAACTTGCCCACCTGCACCCCAAACAGTAGCAGGATTAGACTCTTTCCAATAGTACAGTGAACTATTTCGTAAAACCATTAACTCTTACATATACCTTGTAACTAAAATGTTAAGTAATTTCATAGCAGTTTCTTCATTTTTTTCTTGCTCAAATCTATCATGTGGTAACTGAATCCTTAACAGACTAAACAGACCTGCACTAAAATTATAAGAGCTATTCCCTTTGCATTTTGTACTAGGTAATCACAAGAATCACAAACTATAAATAATGGAAATCCTTTTGGAGCTTGTTGTATTCAGAGGAAATAAAACTGGGTGTTTGTGCCTTGTATTTTAATTGGCTCCTTAGTATATTCAGAATCATGTCTAAACTATCTGGTCCAGCATTTTGCCATCTAAACCCTCTTATTCTTCACACATTATGTCTTGCCATTGTTGTCACAAACTACATCCTCCAGTCAAAGACTGCTACTTTTTTCATTATATTCAGAAATCTCTTCAGAGCGTGTACCTGGATGCTCACCCCCACTGTATCATGCACACATGTGAAAAAATTAAGTGTTTTTTAAGATCTACCACAGCTATCTCTCCTTCTTAAATCATTCTTTTATATCTTCTCCTCCCCAAATCTGGAAGTCAATCTGTCTACCTCTGGGGCTTCAAAGTTCTTTTAAGCACCATTTTTATAAAACATATTATTTTTACCATATAGTATATGGTATAGCATATACTATATACCATATAGTATAGTTGTTTAAATCCAAGACAACTCTAATGTCTAAAATGTCTTAAATGGTTGTTCATTATGAATGAGTGTCCTGCAGAAGAAATTTGAATTCAATATGCCTTGTGAGTGTGCATGGTCAAACTATTTTCTGTCATCACCACTTTTACAAGTGGTGCTACTTTATATAAAGTGTCTATGCACAAATATGTACCAGCTGCCATTGGCCTGTCCCTTATGTTTTCCTCTATACCTTTCAGCAGTTTCAATAGATGTTTACACTCTGTTCCAAATCTAGGTCATTTCAAAGTTGGCTTTCATGGATTGCCTTTTCTCTTAAGGGTCATAATTTCCTTTTCTCTTGTGGGTCATTATTTCCTATTTCTTCATGTGTAATCAATTTGGATTGTATTCTAGAGATTATAAATAATATATTGTGGAGACTGTATTTTTTATGTTCCATTGAAGAGTGCTAATATTTTGTTTCATGGCTGAATTCAAACTCCAGATTCTGCAATCTTCATTCACTTGGTTTACCTTTTACTGTGCTGCTTAGACTCTATCCAGACATCCACAACTCAGAGGTCAGTTAAAGACATGAGCAGTTTATGCATGAGAAATGTGGTTTCTGTTCTGGAACTCTTTTCTCAAGCTGTTGAGTTTACCCTGAAGTTGTCCTTTGCTTTCTCATGCTAAATCCACTGCAAGTTTGTTTCTGGGTTTTATCAACCCTGCTAAGATGGTAACTTTGAGCCAGCATAGTTAATTCTTGCTGCTTTCTACCACCACACTTCTGGCAGGTGTCATCAGAATTCAATCAGTCACTTAGGAATGAGAGCTATTGACTATAAATATGAAATATGTCAGAATATAAGACATATACACTTACATTAAAATAAATATATCTTTTCTTAAACCTACCTACCACCATGTGAAAGATTTTTCATTGTGTCCCTATAACAATATGAAAAAGACCTAGGTTTCCCGGTAGTCAGATCTCTGATTAGATTTGTACATTCAAATTAGTAGGGAAACTACCAGTCAGTCTTGATTTGAAGCCTATTTTCTAATTCAGGCTTACTAGTATTGAGTCAAGTGCTTTGATCTCAATTTATTGTGGACTCCAATGGAAATACTCTATACATGAGCATTTTAGAGGGAAAGAAATAAGACTGGCCAAGTTTCAGGCACCAAATCTCATCCTAAATGGTGACCACAAATGATAGTGATAGAAAACACTTAGGTAGTCTTTGCAATGTTCCTGGCACAGTTACTCTAGCACATTATATAATTTAACTCATTCAACTCTCACCAAACCTCACGAAGGTTGCAGATGAAGAAATCAAGGCCTAGGAAGTTTAATCACTTCTTCAAAGTCATACATCTAATACATGATTTAAGTTACCTAAATCAAGAAGCATCGTTCCTTTAGAATCTTTATACAACATCAGGCATAAGCAGCCTAGCTTTGTGAGCAACATTTTCCTCACACACACACATTACCCCAAAACCTCATATATTACAAGATGAAAATAAAGAAAAATTCTCTCACACTTCGCCTTGGAACAGTAGGCAATTTTCAGTGATATAATATCCATGGGCAGTGGTAGTGGTTCCCATTAGAACTCCTGATGCCAGATCTAAGTGGAAGTACCCATCAGAAGCAAAGTGCTTAGTCAGCTCTGTGTTCAGCAATCCCAGCAGGATGCCCTGAAAAGAAACCTGTGACCAGAGAAGGAAACACGAGCGTAAATGAGACAAAACCCAATGGCCTTATATAAACACACACCTGGACTGGGTTTCAGATATGCCGAGTAGGTGGTACATAAGCAAGAAAAAACATTACTATTCTGTGATTCTATCTCTGCACTCTCAGTTCAGTGGACCTGGAGAAAATCTTGACACACATATAAAAACTTGATATGTAGAGAGAGAAATACATGCAGATTTAATACATTCAACTTGCATGATAATAATCATGCAAGTATTTGTTTTTTATGTCACACTTTCTCATGAAGCTTTGTCTATAACAACTTAAGCACATGGACATTTGATGTCTACTCACATTGATTTTAAAGGACTCCTTGCTGCTGTTACACAAGTAATGATAGAAAGAACTCAGTTTCAGGAAAAGAGAAACTCAGACTAACATTGGGAAGAGGAGTAGATAAGGATGTCCATTGGTTAGAAGTGAATTGAGGGGATATTCACTTCCAGATAAGAACAAACCTTCTCTCCTATGGCTTTCTGCTAATTCAATGAGCTGCTGTGAGAAGTAATGTGTTCCCCATCATTGGTTATGCCATGTGTTGGTGGAGGTGTTATAAAGAGTGTGCAGGTCTTAGACGGGCCTGGATGAACTCTGGGTTCCATCCTACTTGGAGGTCCCATTGCCGTAGGCATTGCTCCAAGCATAACAGAGTCCAGTAAACAAATAAACAAACAAACAAAAAAACCCTCAAACTTCAGGCAGCTAAGATTAGTCACTTGAAGAAAACGAAGAACAAAAAACACCTTCTCGTTTGTGCTGAAAGCATCCTTTCCTATATGCAAATTGACACTAATAGCATGTTCAGAGTTCCTTTACACCATTTAAAATGATACAGATGGGATATCAGCTAACATTTAGAGTGCTTACTATTTGCAGGATCTAACAGTTCTGGTAGCTCCATATGAGTTATCATTGGATTCTCCTAACAAATTCACCTGGCAGGTGGCATTACCTTCATGTCACAGATGAAGACATCTGTGCACATCAAGGCTAAGCAGACTGCCAAGGGCTACAGAGTTAGTTAATGAAGAAGAAAGAATTTGAATCTAAACAGTCTGACTCTAGAACCCTCAATCCAAGAGCCAAAAATGTTCTGTTGGTAGAGCTAAATCCTATACAGTGATCATAAAACTCATTATCTCCTTTAATCTAATCCACCACCGGAGCAGCTACAATTGAGGAGATTAACTCACAGTACAGCCCTTTATCTTATCTCCACAAATGGTGAATGAATGAGGTTTCCTTTGGGGTGTGTATGTATAAGATCCCTGTTCTTCAAGCTCTTTATATACTGTATTTTTAGGCCTATAAGACGCACCCACGTTTTAGAGGAGAAAAATGGAAAAAAATTTTGAAGCAAAAAATGTGGTAAAATATTTAATAACCTATGACCCCAATCCACCACTTCCCCCTCAACCCCACAGTGAGCCAGGTAAGTTACATTCAGACACACTATGAGACACACCCCTGACTTCTGGCCAAGATGGAGGTGTAGGTGGAAACATTGTGCCTCCTCGCACAACCAAATTTAAGGACAACAAAGATATAGACACAAAATTACAACCAAAACAGAGAGAAAATTGAACTCTACGGAAGTCCAACAACAAACCATTCATCTAGACTGGTAAGAAGGGTGGAGTCAACGGATGGCGAAGAGGGGTCATAGCAGGAAAAAGTGGTGGCTGGAGGACCTGGGCATGCAAGCAGCGCAGGGCTAGCAGACCCTGGGCATGGGGAGGAAACAAGCAGAGTAAACAAAGTGGTTGGCTGACCACGGTCACACATTCATGCACAGATAAACCAGGCAAAAATCGGCAATGAGACAGACCACGCAATCTCGGGCCCCAGCGATAGGAAATAAACCCTAAAAGCACAAAATTGAAAAAACTTGCTGGAGTTGAGGTGCTGGGAGAGACTCCCAGACTCACAGAAGATTTCATTGGAGAGACCCACAGGGTCCTAGAACATACACAAGCCCACACACCTGGGAACCAGCACCAGAAGGGCCCAATTTGCTTATGAAGCAGCAAAGGGGACTGAAATCTGAGAGAGAGCTGAGCAAGCACCATTATTCCCTCTCTGACCTCACCCCCACATACAGCATCATAACCCAGCGACTGGGTTGACCCACCCTGGTGAACACCTAAGGCTCCACCCGTCATACATACCAGGGGTGACAAGACAAAAAAAATGTCCCAAACGACATTTTTTCCCCCAAACGAAAGAATAGACCAAAGCTCCACAGCAAATACAACTAAGCAATGAACAGATAGCCAACCTATCAGATGCACAGTTCAAAGCACTGGTGATCAAGATGCTCACAGAACTGATTGACTTTGGTCACAAATTAGTTGAAAAAATGAGGGCTACACTAAGTGAAATGAAAGAAAATGCACAGGGAACCAATAGTGATAGAAAGAAAACTGGGACTCAAATCAATGGAGTGGACCAGAAGGAAGAAAGAAACAACCAAACAGAAAAGAATGAAAAAACAAGAATTCAAAAAAAATGAGCAGAGGCTTAGGAACCTCCAGGACATCTTTAAACATTCCAACATCTGAATTATAGGGGTACCGGAGGGGAAGAGGAAGAGCAACAAGTGGAAAACTAATTTGAACAAATAATAAAGGAGAACTTCCCCAATCTGGCAAAGGAAATAGACTTCCAGGAAGTCTAGGAAGCTCAGAGAGTCCCAAGGAACTTGGACCCAAGGAGGAACACAATAAGGCACACCATAATTATCTTAGCCAAGATTAAAGATAGGGAGAGAATCTTAAAAGTAGCAAGGCAAAAGGAGACAGTCACCTACAAAGGAGTTCCCATCAGATTATTAGCTGATTTCTCAAAAGAGACTTTACAGGCAAGAAGGGGCTGGAAAGAAGTATTCCAAGTCAGGAAAGGCAAGGACCTACATCCAAGATTACTCTATCTAGCAAAGCTTGCATTTAGAATGGAAGGGCAGATAAAGCGCTTCTCAGATAACATCAAGTTCAAGGAGTTCATTGTCACCAAGCCCTTATTATCTGAAATGTTAAAGGGACTTACCTAAGAAAAAGAAGATAAAAAATATTAACAGTGAAAGGACAGCAAACTCACACCTAAAACAAAAGCAGACTAAGCAGACAGCTAGATCAGGAGTGGAGCCACAGAAATGGAGATCACATGGAGGGTTAGCAA